GGAAGGCTAATTGGATTGGTCATGTTTTACGCAGAAACTGCCTTCTAAAAGAAGCTATCGAAGGAAAGATAGATGGGCGGATAGAAGTGACAAGAAGACGAGGAAGAAGACGTAAGAAGATGCTGGATGACCTTGGGGACAGAAGAGGATACTGTCATTTGAAGGAGAAAGCTCTAGATCGCATTAAGTGGAGGAATTGTTTTGAAAGAGACTGTGAACCTGTCGTCTTCACAGATTACTGATGATGATGATGATGATGATCTCGATTATAGAAGGCCAAACCACATCACCGGCCGACTTCCTCTACTTCGCAATTGAGGTGTCGTGTGTGCTTTTCACGTGGGAAACAAAAGACCGTCCAGACAAAGTGCGTGAAGTGCGAAATCGGACTCTGCATTTCCGGATTTTTTTAAGAATTCCACACGAAGGCAACATTGCGGCAGATGATGCAGGTGGGAAGACAGACACTCCATGCAGATGGTGGCCAAAAATTATATAAGTAGGACATTATTTTCTACCTTAAAAATGTATTTCAAATAACGTCCGCACGCGTGGACTGTGCGACCCCATAAAGGGTCATTCGTACCGCTGACTTTATTTATGCGACTCCATATGGGGTCTTTAGTCGTTTAAAGGTTAACGGCCGTGGGGATCCGTTGCGCTGACTATGTGCCACCCTCTATCTGAAAAAGTTGGCACTAACTTCACTGACTAGCGGCTGTCGCTTTGTCAGTGTAGTTCGCTTGCAAACTAAAAAATAGAAGCCATGGAGTACCACTAAATTTGTACTTGTTAAGAATCTACTGATTTGAACTGAACTGCTATGCACTTGGTATTATTTCTCCCATTCCAGAATGGTACTGGAGATGCAAATGATGTATGGAAGGTTCTGATTGTGGATGGTAAAGAAGATGAATCTGTCACTACAGTCTCTAGCAAGTTAAAATTCATACACTACCTCCAGCACTGTGTTCTAACTTCTAGTGGAAAACAGCTTCCTAAGTGGTGAGTATACCTGTTTGCAAGATATGTCAGAATGGTGAAGCATAAAGTTTTTGGATTAAATATTTTTCATACTTTAAACTTAACCATATGTTTGTGTCTGGGGTACTGGGCTTAATTACACATAACATTGCCTGTTTTACTAGGAAATTTATACACGTATAGGCTATAAAGAAAATTATTAAAACAGCTGTTCAAATGCATGGTGGCACATTGGGCACAATGGCTTCATCTTTGTATATCACAAATTCAAATAATTCTGAACTTTTGCTGTACTGTCAAGAGATTGTGCACTTCTGACATGATTTCTTTCAGGGCATATGAACAACAGGAGGTATCCTGCAATTCCAACATGAGAGACAAGAATGCCCTCTGGAATGTGGAAGATAATATTTTTCCAAAATGCAAGTTATTTATGTATTATAGCAATAATAATTGTAAATCTGGCCCAGCCTAAATCTACAGGAAGATACTAGTTTGATGACAATTGTGAACAAAGATCTTTCATTCTTCCTTTATACAGGACTCCTTATTCTGATAACTAAGTGATCCTTCATTTCTTGCTTAATATAATATATATATTTTTCATTCATAACAAAGTGTATTCAGAAATAAGTTTCATTCATCACTGTTCACTGTAGTTTCACTGTCTAGTGATCTATATATTTGTATTCACTTGTCAAATGCATTCTTCATAACAGAAGTTTGAAGGAATTTCTTATGGGTATTATTTCTAAATTATTTAATTATTTCCGTCTAGTGCCAAGGTCAAAAATCATGGAGCTGTACCTCCACTCCCCCATACATCTGCATAGCATGCTGCTCATTTAATTAAGCACAAGGACAACTGTAGCTTTTTCTTTAATTAGATCAGCTATTTGTAGCTGTTACTTGACTTAAAGGCCCAACTGAATATTTTATAATTGGACATTAACTGTCTCCAACAGTTGAGATAAAATTTATGAATCTTTACAATATTACAATACGTATTAAAGATAAGCAGTGACACACACAGAGAGAGCCTACACAGATCAATACCTGAACAGTGATAAAACAAGAAGTGGCCGCTGCAGCACTATAGACATAGGGCATGTACCCTGAGAAAATTTAAATTTAAAAATTTGAAAAAGAAAAAGAACAGAAATCTTACAGACATTTTAACTTGAATTAAAGTTTTAAAAGAGTGCTAATTTTAGAAATCAAATTAACGCGTGTAGGTTAACAAAGATTTTATACACTTAGAAAGACTGGTGATTTTAAATTTTAACAGGCAGTGTAACAGCTACGTAAGAATACACACCTGATGATGGCCATTTAGGGCCGAAACATGTAGTGTGGAGGAGGGAAAGAAGAAAGAACTACAATTAAATTGTTACACTTAAGACGGTGTTTGTCTCATATATATTATGAATCTTTATTAAAAATTCTGTAATATAGTAATTTCTTTGATACATTGAACCAGTCTGTTAAATAATGGGGTCAAAGCATAAAAAAGAAGTTTTTGACCTTTATAATGCAAAAATAAACACAACTCAACTTGGTAAAATCAATCAGTGATTTAGCTAATTACAGAAATTGTTGCAGTACCCAATGTGAGTTTCGCAGTATATGCTCCGAGTTTCCTCGAGAGGTTCTTTGAATCTCACGCGGTCATGTTCCAAGGAAATTCAGGCCTTAAACCCAAGGAAGGAGAGGTGACATCAAGACCTTGGCAGTGGCCTGTTAACTACAGGGTAATGCAATGTAGAGTGTAGTGTAACAACATAATGGAAACACATTTTAGGTTTCACTGTAATTCCTTTGTATGTACATATGTTTGATTTCTGTTTTTATAGGGCCAGTTTTTCTCTGGTAACAGCTATCGGATATATCTCCTTGGGAATCCAGTGATCTGGTGGGGTAATCTGGTGTTTTTAGCCATATTTCTCATAATTTTTGCCTACAATTCTGTAAGAGAACAGAGAGGTTATCTGGATCCCCCATCAGTTAAAGGTAAAATAAATGAAGTTGTTGATTACAGAAAAAGATATCTCATAATAATTCTGAACAGTAGTAACATAGACAAGTAAGTGGTACCAATATAGACTTTTTTTTAACCATTTGAGGAATATACCTGTAAAAGTAGGGTAATTCACGTTGAGGCACAGATTGTGACCAGTATGTCAGTTCATAAAGTTGATTTCAGATCTTTACAGACATGTGCATTTTGGTCTGCAAAACTACTCGTATTGAAGATGGTTCNAAAGCCCCGGTTAAGCCGCAAACCGGTTAATCCGCCCCCGGATAATCGAGAGTTGACTGTATGTGACGAAGGCTTGTTGAACAAATAAATAATTTCATTATATGATTAAATATTCATTTTATCAGTCTGAAACATTTCTAAAAATATTCTACATTTATTGGAATATACCTAAAATACGTGTATGTTTTATATTGTACAAGATAAATGCTTCATTCTTTCCGGTTTCATCACTGAATTTGAATAAGGAATATAAATACTAGAAGCCATCAATATTTATTCACATTCATAGGGGCATATGTGGACATGCCAGACATAATCAGCACATATTCAGTGTTATGAAAACATGACTGATTGTTTTCAAAATCTTATTAGTTACCAGTTTAGAGAATATAAGTGAAATTGTGCCTGATCTGCCTTTTTATTCTGCTTTAAAAGACATACTGCTTGGGTATGAAGTCTTTAACACATTAAGGACTGGCGATTTAAATATTTAAATTACCCTTGGGCCACCATTATTAAACCTACTATCCTAACCTGTGCACTATTCACTTTAAAAATTAATATAAAATCTAATTAATTTTATGAACTAAAATTTTTGGAGAACACTTACCAGTGCCCCTAGAAGTGCTTGAGGGTGTGATATTTCTGGAAACATTCCCCTTTGTGAAGTGGCATTACACAGAACTTGCTGCTGGTTTTCAGGGACTTTTGAAATGATGGGACAAGTGCCTCAATGTACAGGGAGATATGTTGAGAAATAAAAGCATTTTTCAAATCAGTACTCTTATTTGTTTAAGTTCTATATCCATTTGTAACTTGCTTATTGACTTACCCTCGTATTTAATATATTCAGACAGTAATGAGGTACTGTATCACAATTCTGTAACCTGTGATTTCTATTGCAGAAAGCAAGCATAGAGTGTTTAGTGCTTGTGGCTGGCTCTTCCTTGGATGGGCTTTGCACTATGTTCCATTTTGGGCAATGGGCAGAGTCCTGTACTTCCATCATTACTTCCCAGCTTTACTTTTCAGTTCCATGTTAACAGGTGAGTGTACTACCATTGACCTTATGTAATGCAGCAAACTCTCCACTTGTGAGGGTTACACCTCTGTGAAGTTAACACAAATGTGGAATTTGTGGATGTTGAAACTGTAATACAATGAAAAGAATTCAGTTCAGAACCTTTTGTCTTCTCATCTGTTGTCTTAAACTGTAAAGACTAAGAAATACAGAACTATAATTTTGCCCATAGTTTTGTATGAGTGTGAAATTTTACCCCTCACATAATGGGAAGAAAATAGACTTTGGGTGTTTGAGAACAGGATGCTGAGGAAAATACTTGGACTCAAAAGAGATGAAATAATAGGAGGCTGTAGACAATTACATAATGAAGAGCTTCATAACTTACATGAGAGAAGTTCTGTAATCGCACTGTATATTTGTTGAGATCTTGTTTTATAGGTACAATTATAGTAAACACTTAAAAAACAGACTTTCTGTGACATTGTCAAATATTGTCTGTAATCACCTTAAAGGGTCACTGTACAACTCAAACTGTGTGTGACATGTCTGAACATTTGCACATTCATAGACTATCAGTATATAGCTCTTTGTAGCCCACTGTTATGCTTCAAACATTTTCTTTGACTGTGAAGAAGCAAAACCCCTGGATATGTAGAATCTAGTGGATGTTCCTTCACTCCTTGGTGTACCTCGAAAGCAGTGCTACAGACTGTAATCTTTAACAACTTTGAAGATATAGAACTGGGTAAATTGTATACATGCGTGGAAAATATTATAATGGATCTTAAAAGAAATGGAGTGCAAGAACACAGATGGATTCATCTTGCTAATTATAAAAGTTCAGTGGTTGGATCTTGTGAACCTACAGGTTCCATAAGACATGGAGAACTTCTTAATCAGATGAGCAGCTGTCATTTTCTCAAAAAGGATTCTGCTCTCTGAATGTAGATAGTCAAGCACTTTATTAGAAGACTGTGTACAATAATTTTTGTGTTTGCAGGAATCATTTTGAACTACATGCTAGACAGCATATCTCGGTTGCTACCAAAGAGGATGGCCAATGGCATGTACCACTGGTTCATAGGTGTAATTTTCTCTGCAACTGTTTACAGGTAAATATACTATATGAAAACCATGTAAGAAGTTTGAGTTTTCCCCTACAATATAATTACATTTTATGGTCCAATCCAGGTGTCTAATAAGTAATTAAGAGTGAAAACTGCTTAATGTCTTTCCAAATAAATTTATTTAGTTAAATCAATGATGCTGTCAATAGTGTAGATTACACATCAGTTGATAGGATTGGTGAATGAGTTGGAAAAAATGTGGAAGGATGCGGATGTGGCCTACTTTAAGGTGTACAATCCTGGAACTGCCTGGAGGGGAACCATGAAATACCTGTCAGGATAGCCACTCTCTGGGTGGAGATTTGAAACAAGGATCTGCTGAATACAATGGGAATGCTACCCATATGGCTATTGGTTTTGTTTTTGAAGTCAATCCTCCATATATTTTGTAACAAATGGTGTTCATTTCACAAGTCACTTTTATACTTACTGACAGCGCCTGGAAGTTTGTCACATTTTGATGGTAAAAAGGTAACATGGCATTAACGCCATGAAGGCATATGGGGGAGTGGATGTATAGATCCACATTTTCTTGACCTCAGCACTAGATGGAGGTGAGTGGTTAGCTTCATGCCCCTCCCAGTTTACCCCCGGGGAAAGAGCCCCCAGTACCCATTTGATAGGAGGTTGGGTGGACCCCACAGCTGGTCTGGACGTCGTGGAGAAGTGAAAATTCTTACCCCCACTGGGACTTGAACTCCAACCCCTCAGCCAGTCACTATACCGACTGCACTGTCTTGGCTCCAGCACATTTCCATGATAATAAGCTAAAATAGATACATTTTTTAAGTGTGATTTTGGTTTCTGTCAGCATTTAGGAATTAACTGTCATCAAAATTCAAAATCTAACATGGTTTTTCTTCCTTGCAGCTTTTACCTCTTTTCGCCACTGGCATATGGAATGTCAGGACCATCTGCTTCTGATCCCAACAGCACAATGTATGGCCTAAGATGGATTGAATCATGGGAGTTCTAAATATTAATTCTATTTCAGAAGCCATAACTATGGTTTGAATGTATTTAAATTGGAATAATGTTGCCTGATGTTTAGTCCCTTCACCTATTTTGTGGACTTCAGTCAAACTGAATGCCATAGTTCTGCGTCTGGAAGATACTTCTCTATCATTGGTCTTTTTTGTATAACCCCCCACTGCTTCAGTATTTCTTTATCTGTACCCAGCATTTGTACTGACAGCATGATATCTCCATTAAATATGTTTAGAGCATTTCCCAGAATCTACTGTTTTAGAAGATATATGGTAGTATAGACTCTATGTAGTGTTTCTTTCTCCCACATATATGAAGCAGATGAGTAAGATGTTCCATATGATGTGCAGATATTACTTAAAACATCCAACTTTTTAGCAGGTGAAGGGGCTAACCAATGTAAAATATACATAATACTTCATTCCAGTTTATGTAAAAATCTTTCGAATATTTGGTGATAGCTGAAAACTTGGTAACTAACAGCGTAAGTTTATCAGTATTGTAATGCTTCCCCTGTATATTTTGAATCCAGAAGTATTATTTTTATAAAGTCTTCCTGATCTGTTTTTATAAAGCAGAATAGTGTTAGGATTTCAGGGCAGCAATATACCAAACTGATTAACAGTATTTTTAATCTAGGATCTCACTGCAACAAAGGTAATATAACTGATGATGTAACATGGATGGAATTATAGAAATATTAACTGTGCCTGTAGTTTTGTATGGGTGCAAAACATGGTCTCTTACATTAAAGGAAGAACATAAATGTTAGGTTTTTGAGAAGAGTGAGTGCTGAGGAATACCTGTGGACAAAGTGATGCTGGGGTGGGTGTTCTCTGAGTACTCTGGTTTCTGCAGTCAATTCTCATTCCACCAACTGCTTCACATTCACTACTTAATCTATCATCGATGATACAGTCTTAATACACAACAATAAACAATAAACTGAAGAAAGAAACATTTACAAGTTATAACACACTAAGAAGTAGAAACAAAAGTGTGAAGTTAATCATTTATTACACTAAATCAGGCTGATCCTGTAAGAAAAGATCTGAAATTCTTGAACTAATAATGCCTACAATTTATACAAGAATACTGATTATTTAATACATGTAACTGAATTTATATGTGACTTTGTATTACTTTGGATATAATATATTTTTTTACACTGAATGTGTTGTTAATGTACGTATTCTTACGACATGGAGGCAAGAAATCTTGTCTCTTCATTTGTACTAATTTCACCTCTTAAAAATCTTTGGTGCCTCTTTACCGATATTCATGGAGAAGCTGCTTAAATGGGAACTTATCTGGGTAACATTTATATCACACACAAAAAAAAACTGTTATTTTAGTCCGCAAGAAAACTATACCAACCGAACGACCGCTGCTTGTTGGCGAAGTTTAGTGCCAACTTTTGCAGATAGAGGGTGTCACATGGTCAGCGCAACAAATCCCCACAGCCGTTAATTTCGGTTTTCTAGACTGGAGCCGCTATTTCCTTGAAATAGCTCCTCAATTATCATCACGAGGCTGAGTGGACCCCGTTCCAGACCCACTACTTCTCAGAAAATCTGTTAACGCCGGGAATCGAACCCGGGACCTCATAATCTGTAGCCAGGAATGCTGACCACTAGACCACAGAGGTGGTCCATTTATACAGACTACAAAAATGTAGAACGGTTTTAAGAGAACAGCAGTTTGTGACTTTGGTAAAAACAGGGAAATAAAAATTATAGAACATTTTTCAGAACATGTAAGCATCACACGACTGTAAGGTTGGCACTGGAGTAAAAGAGAGTTCCTGTTAAGTAACCTTAAGTGTCGTCAGAACATCAGAGAAACCACTGGATCCTATTCTGAACTACAGTAAGACCTCATTAACTCAGATTAATTGGGAGTGAACCCTTGTCCAAATTAGTGAAAGTCCTAAGTATGGAAGTCCTACTCAGGGAAGTTATAATATAGATTTCAAGTATCTTTTTAGGCAACACAACTTTATTTTGAAACCTATGTGGGAACTGCCCACATTCAAGCAAACATTACAGTGACAACGCAAGTATCGTTGCTTAGCAATGGTGAGTAAACAGCTGAGCAACCATCTCAACAGGGGGGGTGATGTGGGAACTGCAAACATTACAGTGACAACGCAAGTATTGTTGCTTAGCAACGGCCTCCTGGTAGACTGCTGAAACAACCACATACTGGACGGAATCATGTCGGGGTCACCAATGTGGGATGTCATTATATGAAGAGAGAACCACTTGTTGAACTGTTCTTCAGTTCTACTTCAGTGTTGCATTTCAATACAACGTTCAAGGTATTATTCTTCTTCTTCAATTCTTCAAACTCAAGTTCATCTGTATATACTGTGCAATTATAATAAATATTGTGACATGTGCGAAAAGCCGAGCCCCCCCCCCACACCAGCAGTGACGCGGCGGGTGAGTCAGCGCTCCCCTCCCACCCCTCAGCGGTAACGTAACGCTCCCGTAATAGGCGAGTAATCACCCCGCAATGCGCAACGCGCGGTGACGTCACGAGCGGAGCCGAAGATAGCCGAGCCCCGTAACCTGGCAACTACGCAATGCTAATCAACAGCGGTGACGTCACGCTAGCAACAGCGTCCTATGCTATCCGCCACGTCACACTAGCAACAGCGCAAGGCTATATAAGCGGACCCACAGCAGTGTGATCATCAGTTGAAACATAGCAGCCTGCGAGTGTGCGATAACTAAGAAGTCAGCGAGCGGAAGACTTATTGTGTGCTTTCCAGACATAGTGATTGCTGTAGTACAGTTATACTCAGAGTGTGTATTTCAGGGAGACTTGTATAGCTCCCGC